TGACAAAGACTACAGGCATCAGAAAATAATGATATTAAACACTTTTCCATAATCATAGGGGAATCGATTGAATATATAATCAAAATATATACAAAACTCTCAAGTAGAATATGTATAATCAAACACAACTAGGATGATTGACTTCTAGGGAGAGAAAAGGACTCAGTCAAGGTTTGGAAAAAGTTCTTCAAGAAGCAAGATGGATATCAAGATTGAGTTTATGGTCAAGGGGCAGCATTCAATCAGACATATGAGAACTTGTAGGAAGAGAAGTACCTGCAATTTGAACACTACTTTCTCCTTGGACTACAGCCCATGTCATGGGACAAGGAGCTACAGTCATTCTTAATTCTATCTTCAGTAAACGATTTCATGTATATTTATAACTGAAAACTCTGAGGGGCAAAATGATCCTCTAGGATTTGTTTTTATGAGTATTTTCCACCCTTCGAAAAAACTTTAAAACACATTTATTGTTTGAAATGAGTAAGGCTCTAGTCAACGTACTGAAATATCATTTTTAACATATTGGACTTTATTACAGAGCAATGTTCAATTCCATCATGATTCCAAGAATTTGGAGAGAACTGAAAGAACACTAAGGATGAGTAATTCAGCACATGGTATCAACTTGTGGAACCTAGACTGGGACTGCAATTTTTTCCTGAGAGTCATAGGCAGAGAGGCAGAGATGCCGGAGAGGAAAAGATAGGGAAAAATTCTTTTGGATGTAATATTTTGATATTGTAGATAAGATAAAGTCTTTTCAGTAAAGTAGCAAAAGGCTCTAGGGAGAGGAAGGTGAATTAGGGGGCAGCAATGAGAGAGATCCGTTGTTAGTCTAATTAACTTTGCTCCAAGGGGCTTGGAGTCTTGTCAGCAATGGAGGACATGATTGAGTGGGACAGAGAAGCATGTGCTAGTATGAAGCTAAGCTCCGTGGAGTGTGCAGGCCAGAGTCTCAGAACACAGGCAAGTGAAGAATCTCTCATAACCAAAATATCTCCTCTAGTGCTCAGCCAATTTGAATAAAATAGCAATAGGAGCTATTTCATAAGAAGCATTGCCCAATATTTTCTAAAATAATGAATTGCGAATGCGCCTACATTCTGATTTCTTTAGAAACAACTGAGAAAACAAAGAGAAGCAATGGTAAGAAATTGAGTAATGCTGGGGTTTTTTTTTTTAACTTAGATTAAATTGGAAGAAATGTGAACTAAGACAACTAACAAAACTCATTTTTTTTTTCTGCTTCTTGGTGAAAAACACAGCAAAAGGAAAAAATAAAACTAAATTTTCTTTCCTTTTTCCTGTTAGTTTTATAAAAGATGTAGCCTATAAACCACGACTGCTAAGTTAATAAAAGAAAATTCAGGCAAATATTATGGACTTTCTATCTGGCTGTTCTGGAAACCTAGCCCTATTCCTTAGGGCTTTTGAGGCCTTCCCTAGGGGACACTGAGCAAAAGCATTTGCCCTTCTTCTGTGCTAAGGTTCTACTCTACCCAATTTTTATTAAGAGATACCCTGGTTCTGAGAAAGACTGAGTTCAGAATTTGCCTAGATGTAGGATCTTTTAGTTAAGAATTTCTAAACCCCTCATTATCAGCAAGGTGAATTAATGTTATTCAATTTTAATGAAAGAAAAATCAAGGTATAGAAGGCGTTCACTTGCCTTAGGTTACTTCATCTATTAAGTGCTTTATCTATGAAGTAGAAACAACCAACCAACCAACCAAACAAACAAACGAAAAGGCCCATAATCTTTCCAGCAACTGAGAGATATCTACTTGGCCACGGAAATAATGAAAATACAACAAAAATATACTTTTAGACTGTTCAATATGTGGGAAAATAAAATAAGTATTTATTTAATGACATCCAATTCCAAAATAAGTACAAACATTGATAGTTTTTCATCCTTTGCTGTAAGCTTTTGCCTGTTTCTCGTGTTTAATTTTTGACCAAGGGGAATATTTTGAATTTGTCAATTCCCTATTTTGCTTAAAAACATTTGAGGACACTGTTAAGAATACCAAAAGCTATTTTAGTCATTCAGGAAAAAAAAAAAAAGAGAGAGTTGCCTTGTAAATGCTCAAAGGAAAATTTATTCCATGACTTTTAACTGATTTCATTGGAATTTTTATACTAAAGCAGTGATTGTATAGAAAACGAGTCTTTAGTTTATAGAATGAAGAGCATTGGAAATGTAATAATAATGAGAAAGAGAAACTTAGGCCAACATAAGATATCATAATGTACTTTTAGAGCAACTTACTGTAGTGGAAAGTAGGTCACTGAACCTTTGTAACCGTCCTGAAGGGAAAGCACCAGTGTGTAGGTGAATAATCAACATATGAGCCTGAAGAGAAGCCTCTCCTGAACCAGCTGTTGGTGTTTAGCAAACACAATGTATAGACAAGTAAGTTTCCTTTTAGTATTGTGTAGCCGGGGGTGGGTTGGGGTGGGAGGGCATCTTTTTCTTGCCAAGACACCTTTTGTGCTCATGGCCCATCAAAAAAAAAAAAAAAAAAGACCTAGAACCTTCATTTCTACCTAGGTCGACGCTGGCTCTGCTGGTATGTTGGGCTCAGAAATACTTAGTCATTTGGACATAGTCTCTCAGAAATAGTTTCTATGGCCTCTAGTAGCAAGAAAGGCCAATGCTCCTGCAAAAAAAAGCTGTGATTTTTCTCGAGAGCAATTCTGTTTTATTACACTATGCTGCACACGAGTCTCTCAGGCTCACTTTAGAAGGAATAAAAGGTCATTTTCACTGTAGCTAATGAATCTCAGCTTATTGGTGGTATTCAATGAATGTCAGCATTGATATGATTAGTGATATGAATCTAATTATAAAATAAATTTGATTAATGTTGCCCTTTTTTGGGAAGTGTCATAATTCTATTAAACTATAGCCAGAAATTACTCACTTAGCAGTTGGAAAATGCTGAGTACTTGTAATATTGGAATTATCACAAGGCATTATCATAAAGATATTATCTTATTAAAAAAATCAGTCTTTTCAACTGAGCGATGATTAGCAAATCTATTAGTAGAAGCAGAAATCACTTAATCTGCAAAACCAAATATCTGCTCTCAGGGTAGTCGTATCAAGGCACGTCTGGAGACCCTGACTTGTAGCAGCAAAAATAACAAAACAATGACCGCTTTGATGAATTATAGTTTACAAAATATGTTTCTACAGGCATTATCTGACTTTCATAACTATTTTATATTTTTTAAAAAATAAAAATGATGATCGGAAACAAAGATTAAGTAGTTTGCACAAAGTCACGTGACTCGTAAGTGGCCAACGTGGCACTGGGACTCCCCCTAAAGTGCTGTTCTCTCTCTCCACACCCCGTGACAGGTATTCCAGGGTGTGCTTGCTCGTCCACCCCACCTAGTCAAAGAAACTCAGGGAGCCACTGTTTGGTTCAGCACGGGTTCCCTTGTAATAATACCATACCACTGGTATCGGCAGAGCTATTTGCGGCTATATTATATAGTGTATCTCCTAGAGTCTTCTTTTCAACTCTAAATGATATTGGCATATGAAATTTTCGTGTTTACATAATTTAATGAGAAAAAAATGCCCATGCAAATGCCCATACGGTCCAAGCCACATGTTTTTTTCTGTTATTAAAACAACTTTCCCCTGGATACAAAGATAATAGAAAAGGTCTAAAGAAGAACATGAGTGTCATAATCTATGGCACTGTGGTGACACCTCTTCCAGGACTGCTTAAGAGCCTTAAAGATTTTATTCATGCAAATGGTATTTTAAAGAGAAAACGGAATCATTTTAACATTTTTCCTTCTCCTGATACTATATATATCATAAACATCTTTTTATATTACTGGGATTTTGTGCTGGCAAATGCTAAGAAGATTTTATTTTACTTCATATTCCATTTTTACAGTGACATACATCAATTCATGCTTGGCATTTTCTAGCTAGCATATGTGTCCAAAACCACAAACTTGTAGCAATGTAGGAAAAGGAGGTCATAGAAAAACTATAAAGTGAGAGAGGCTTTGTATAATTTATCAATGTATGAGTACTACATGTCATTTTTATTTTTATGTAACAAATTTCCTGAATACTGTAGAACATTTTGCTAAATGTAACTTTTCACTGCTGTGGTAGACTAACCCAAACAGAAAGAAATTTTGCTTGTGCAGAGGTAACTTGAAAAATTTTCAGATTAATTATAATTTAGAAATGAGAAATTAATCTATAAAAATATTAATATAATTAAGTGGTTAAAAATACTCAACTACTTGAAGGTTAATATTTTTTTCCTGCGGCATCATAGCATCCTGTCATCCAATACACACTAAGTCGCGTCTACCATAGTCACAGCCCAGCCCAAATCAGAAGTTCCCCTGTCCCCTTAGCCAACAGCCCATTTCCGAGAGCTGGAATGAACCCAAAGGGGCATTCGTGGTTAGGGATTTCACAATCCCTATGGGACTGATATAGATAAAAAAGAAAAAGGAGATGAATGCATGTCCCATGGTAACACTTAATAAAAGTAGAGTACAGATATTTATTAATTTTATTCATTCATTCACTCATTCAACACTTATTGAGCATCTACTTTGACTCAGCAAGTTTCTCATTAGTTTAGAGGATGTGCATACATGTGGGCGTGTATATACACATGTAGGTGTATAGAGTATAAATACAGAGGAATAAATTAAAAACTATTATTAACATATAATACATTTCATACTTATTTTCCTTAAGCTATTTACATGTTGCTTGTGTTCTTAAAATCCTAGAGTTATTTTTTTTACCCCTGAATGAAATATACAGAATGGTACATGTGTTCTTAAAACTTTGAATGGAATTTTAATCAAATTTACATCAAAGATATTCTGTAACATTTTAAATATTTTCTTCAAATGGTAATTCTGGACGATCTCTGCCTCTACTTATCCCCCATGAATTTATTAAGAATCAACTGTAATTTACATGAGAATAAACTTACCTTCCAGATGGAAAGACACAAAAGTCAGAAGGATGAGAGCCAGAGAATTAGCCTCTATGACGTAAGTGCAATTCATGTTGTTATCATATTGTTTTGGGTAGTTTGGAGAAATGATGTAACCTGAAGGTTTAGTGAAAGTACTTCCACACCCTATGTGGGGAGAAAAAGGTATTATCAGGACATTTGTTCTCACATACAGTATCTTTTTTATCAGTGAGGGAAAGACTAAAATTTCTTAATTCTACAGACATCTTTCCTGAGGAACTTTGAATAAAAGAAACAATAACTAAGAACAAATTTCACTTAAAAATAAATAAATGATAATATTACATATATTTTTTAGAAAACACTACAGGTTTTTGGGCTAAGTAGTAGAAATTTTACTGAAAATCATTTAATTTTAAGATATTAAAGAAAGGATAACCTAGCCAAGGTTTAACATGGCTCATGTAAAGAAAAAAAACTGATGAAAAGTGATTTGTACCAAACTGGTACATCAGTGGTCTTAAAATATCTTATTATATTATTAGAAAACTATATTATTTTCATTACTACTATACTCTGACCATAAAAAAAAAAAAATACCTGCTTTTAAAAAAAAATGGTCAAATGTACTAATCCCAACTCCTATCAAATTCTCACATGAATCCCTGGTGTCATAAATCCAACTACCTCTTTACCACTTACATGACACTCATTTTCATAGAACCATATCACTCGCCGATCTATCACATATGAAAATACCGGTATTCTCTGAACACTGATATTAAAGCACACCGAGCTCCGCACACACACATATGCATGAATCCAAGTGAAGACCTAAGGTTAGGCCCGGGCGGTCTTTCATTCCTTCCTCTACGCCACCCTCATCCTTTTCTGTGTGTCTGGAATACCTGACCACTGCATTCTTTCCTCTAATTCCTTTCATCAAACTTTCTCCTCAACAGTGGATTGCTGTTAGTAGCTATTCAATCTGTTTCAGCCAACAGTTTCAGCACCGCCACTGCTTCTCAGACTTAAAAACGAACCAAATTTGTAAGCAGTAATAAGAGAAGAAGGGAAATTCTGAAGAAAGCGGCTCTCAAGGTTTACTGACCATGAGCATCATCTGGGTGAGAGCTAAAACATGCCAGTCCCGCTCATGGAAATTCTGAATCCAGATGGGTTAGGCGAGGCCCAAGAATCCGTGTGTTTTCAAAGCCCCAGACGATTTGGGATCAGGTGGTCAGTGTACCACGTGCCAGGGACCTGGCTGTCTACTAACCACCAGTCTCCTGCAGAATTCCTGCCCACTCTGGATTTGGAGGTTGTTTTTAGACATCATTGTGGCACTCAGGCCTTTTACACCATTTCTCAGTTAACTTATTGTTTAATCCAGTTCCATCCTCACTGAGTTTTAAAGGAAGGACATACTCTCAGGATTAGGTGACCTGCCCACATTCTTCCCCTTGGATCCCCAGTTCCAGCCAACCCCGGCACAGCCCCCACTCTTCCCCAAGCCTGCCTGTGACAGCCACACCTAGCCACACCTAGTCTCGGTTTCATTTTTAGTGCTACTTACGGCTTACGAAGGATGCAGAGAAGCCCTGAGCCGGGGCCTCCTGAGACTGGAACACGGCCGTGAAGGCGTTTCTTGGTGTGATGATGGCAGCGGGAGCCACGTTCCCACAGCTCGTGGCTAACAGGGCTTTGTCCGCCTCCTCGGTTCCGGCCCACACCTAGCAGAGCCACAAACATGACTTAACGCTCAAGGCTTTTCCTTGTCAATATTTTAAAGCGTTTAGGCTGGAGAATAATGGGACGTGGGTATATACAGACCTAAACATAATAGTAAACAAAACACATGCAAGTCTGCAGTATTATCTTTTGAGAATAACCTTTCAAAGCTGCATTTATACAGCCTATCTCATTCTTGAGTCTTCCCAGGAGACTGTGTTTATTTTTGTGCAGCTGGGCAATAACTTAAAGAAATCGATCACTACCTAGTTTCCTCCTACCTTCTCCTGGTTGACTTAATCTAGCTGAGAGGACAGCCATGTGTGCTGCAGTCCTGTGGGCTTTCCCACTTGTCCTGCGTGGATGGCAAATTGTGGGTTACGAGTATAAAACAGCACCAAGCAAGGAACCCATAGAAATGAACACTTTGCGAAGCATAAAGAGAGTGGACATGAATCCTAAGCATACATGTAATTATCACCCATTGGAATAAATCATAGAAGACTTCCTGGCAGTGATGGATTTTAAGGGTCATGCTGAAGAAAGGGTGAGCCTTGGTCACTACGTGCTATTACTCACTGCAGATGGGCTGGCGACTCCCAGTCATTTCATCAGTTTGGCAACTTTAAAAGAAATAACTGATGTAGTCATTAAAAAAATAGCTGCTGAAGGATATTGTGAGCAATAAAATTCCAAATCAAGCCAATCCTAACCAGCTTGGTGAAGGACAATAATCATAGAATCGCAAATTTAAATGCGAAATTCCAGTTGTGAAAAGGGCCTTGAGAGTATGTCATGAGGAGCTTTACCTGCTTTGGGGAGTGGTGAGCCTGCCCAAAGGGGCCGCATGGCAGGGAGGGGCGTGTCTAGTTCCAAGAACAGAGAGACACTAAGGCGTGAGGCGAGACTGCAGAGTCCATGCCGGCCCTGTGGCATGGGAGAGATCTGGGCCACTGTCCCAAAAACGGCAAGGAGCCACTGGAAAGCTTAAGGCTCAGCGGTGCTTGGCTTTTGGAAAACATTACAATGTGGGGAATAAGAAAAAAAGGAGAGGATGCTGAGAGATCAGCCAGGAAGGTTTCGCAGTAGTTTAAATGAGAGATCATGGTATTTAAAATGTTGAGTCACTCAAAGAAAGAACTGATATTAGGTCATGAATACACATTACTGGGAAAAATACTATAAAATGTGTTTAACCAGGGATGACCACCCCCAAGTTGACTGAGTCTCAAATGAGAGCAATTTTGCCTTCTCCAGGGAATATGTAGCAACGTCTGGAGGCCTTTTTGATTGTCACACTTGGTATGGGGGTGGCATGTAGTGGGAAGGGGCCAGGGATGCTGCTGAAGCTCCTACAATGCACAAGACACCCCCCCCCCGACACACACACACATATACACAACTAATAATTATCTAGCTCAAGAGGGCAAAAAAGTAATTAGGTTTAGATTAGTCTTCCTTGACTATTGAATATTTTCTTCTTCACATCAAATTATATAAAATTACTCATTTGAACATATCACTTTCAGGAATATTTCTCAAACAAAGCAATAAAACATCAAGCCATTAAAAATATTTCTATTGGCAAGTCAGTCCATAGGAAGAGGTGAGAAATCACTGATTCACAGCACTGATTTAATATTTCTCAGTTCTTTAAAGCCATATAATTTGAATTGATTTTCAAACATTGGGATCCAGCTGTTAGTCATCTATTAAAGGCAAATTATATTTCCATTTATTAGATATAGGAGGTGACTGGCACTGGAGCTACTGAGATAAAAAACATAGATATTCTGCCAAATACTTAAGATCAAAAATGTGTCAGGAAAGAAATACATACTACCAATTTTTCCTAATATCCCCTTTAATTTTTTCCCCTTAACTATCCAGGGAAACAGTACACAGAAGTTTTCTATCCACATTTTATAAAAGTATAAACATGATTTACTGATATCTGCATATACTATTTTTATAAACATTACTAAAAGGCAAGGTGATAAAAGCTAAAACTTTTAATAAGGAATCTCAAGTTCTTTAACAAGGAACTTCAAGAATACTCTAGTGCTTATACCTTTCTGAAGTCATTAATTATGGATCTGACAGCTGTACCTTTTGGCCTAAGAACGTGTGTTGAAATGACAATAATAAGAAAGAGTTACTAAGTTTTCATCACTGCCTTGTCCGTCAAGAACTCATGCCACTGGCTATATGACCCAGGACTCATCGAACTATATTCTATATTGTATCTACGAAATGTTACAAAATTGTCAGCCTGGCTTCACATGATATTTTATCATGCAAGTAATAAAACAAACAACAACAACAATAACAAAAACAAGTGTTTGTGATAACTGCTGATTCATATGCGGCTGTAAGATATAATATCGATGAGTTTCCTGAACACATTTCCCAGTTTCTCCCAACACTGATATTTTGCAAAGCCATAGTATAATATTATAACTAGGATACTGAGATCGACAATGTAGCAATCTTGCTCAATTTCCCACTTCTACTTGTACTCAGGTGTGTGTGTATTCAGTAGATATAAGTTATGTGCCACCACACTCGACTCCCTGAACCACCCAACACCACAAGGGTCCCAAGCACTGCTCTTTATTAACCACACAATTACCTTCTGCTCCCCACACTCTCTGACCTCTGGCTATCTGTCCTCCACTTCTAAAATACTGTCATTTCAGAAACATTTTATAAATGGAACAATAGATTATGTAATCTTTTGGGGTTGGCTTTTTCCACTTGGCAAAACTCCCTGGTGATTTATCCAAATTGTTGGTCCGTTGATTGTTTTTATCAAGGAGTTGTATTCTGTGGTTTGCATATACTAGAGTTTGTTTAATGTCCTGTTGAAGGACATTTGCACTGATTCCAGTTTTGGAAACATTACAAATAAAGCTGCTATGATCATTTATATACAGGTTTTTGTGTACACATAATCTGCATTACTCTGGGGTAAATGCCCACGAGTGTAACTGCTGGATCTTATGGTAAGTGCATGCTTAATTGTATAAGAAGCTGCCCAACTATTTTTCAGTACCATTTTATATTACTAGCCATGGCTAAGTGATTCAGCTTTCCCCATCCTTGCCAGGATTTGGAGTCTGTCACTGTTCTTAATTTTAGCATCCTGATAGGAATATAGCAACATCTGATTGTGATTTAATTCACATTTCCCCAAACAGCTAGTGATGTTGAACATCTTTTCATGTTTATTTACCATCTGACTACCCTCTTTGGTGAAATATGTTTTCATATCTTTTGCCCATATTCTAAGTAGATTCTCTGTTTTTACTGCTGGGTTTGAGAGTTCTGTATATATTCTAGACAGTAGTCTGTAGTCAGGCATGTGCTTTGTAAATCTTTCCTCCTAGTCTGTAGCTTGTCTTTTCATCCCCTTCACAGAGGCTTTCACAGAGCAAAAGATTTTTAGTTCTGATGAGATGAAATTCATTAATTTTTCCTTTTATGCATCAATCTTTTGATATCGAATCTAAGAATTTTTCCCTTATCCCTTGGTCTTAAAGATTTTTATTTACATATGGGGTTTTTATTTAAACAGTAAGCACAGATCAGTTAGTTATAAAACATAATTTGGGAGATGATACAAAATAATAACATTAACAATAAAAAACACTTTTATTCATTAGGTGGTTTTATATTTTAAATACTAAACTCTATATTATTGTATCTTATTACCTCAATGCTTCAAACAGCTCCACTAAAGTAGGAACTGTTCTCTTTATTTTACAGTTGAGTAATTTAAAGTCCAAATGTTTAATTACCTCCCAGAGGAACATGCCGGCAGTGAATACAAGAGACAGGAATGGAGTCTAGGCTATTGTGAACTTAAGGTCAATGTTCTTTCCTCTAAAAGACGTAGCCTCTCAGGGATAAAACATATAAGATGAAAAAGAGCACAGACGGGATGAATTTATAACATAGTTCTCTTGGTCACAAGTCAAGGAAAAGTGAGGTCAGTGTCACATGAGCAGTATTGTGACTTTCTAGAAATACAGCGTAACAGACTGCTTGACTGCCATAATTTTACTGGTCTCTCATGGTCTTTTCAGCTTATGGGCTCTCAAGGGCAAGGCGAAGCCTGCACTAGCCCCTTCTCTAGCCTTCTGCAATTTTATAGCATATTTAAATGTTGCCTGTAATGGTGCCTTACATTCATTTTGTCTCAGAAGATCTATGAGAGAGAGATAAGCGGGGGCGGGGGGAAGAAAGAATAAACAAACAGAAATCTGGCCTTCTCTCTTTAGTTTTTACAGAAAGGAAGAACCATCAATGTTCATGAGAATTCAATAAGGCCAGAAAACAAGCTCCTTAATTAAGTTACTTTGCCTATGCATTAGCAAATGAAAAGTCACATGGCAATGTGTGTGTTGTAGTTCAAATATTAATCCCTAATAGTTTAAGTTTCTCATTTTTCTCATTCAACGTATCCAGGCAGCAAAGCTGTCCTTTTCCTACATTGAGAGGCAATGAATCATTTCTAGTCTAAACATTTATGTTCATGAAACCTGTTCAGCCTTAATTAAATAAACGAGCCCACTAACCTTCACGAAGCTGTTCTCACACTGTCCGTCGCCACTGGGGATTAGGAAGTTGTTGTCAAAGCTGACTTCCAAGTGATTGCTTTCATGAGTGATGACTGTCCAGGAGCATCTGCTGTTCTCGGGGAAATTCTGAGGCCAGTGAGGGGATCTGATTGTGCCGTTATCTGAATGAAGTATTCCACCACAACCTTAAATGTTGTCATGGAAAGTGTCATTAATTTGAGAGGAAAATAACAATTTTGGTAGCCCAAGACTTTTAGAGAAGACACATTTCTAAATGTGGGATTTCAGTTCATCTTTTCTTACTTAAGAATCACTGGCTCTTAGGGCAGGTATACAATAAGAACGCAATAAATGCTTCAGCTGTTACTGTTTTGTTACATCTCCATGAACTCAAGTGAGATACCAATCCCTGTGATATAGAGGCTAGACTTCTATCTTGTCTTCAAATGGTACCAATATGTTTATCTCCCCTTGAGGCTACATAATATTTGTGGCCCAGCAATCCCAAATTCTGTATTTCCTTACCACTAACAAAGAATGAAAGTCTATACTCATTTGTAAACTTATTCTAAGATACAGGGCTACAGAAAATAATTTTGAGGTGAGGGAAATTCTTCCATTAAGCATCCTGGTTCATTCACTTTGAAACACGGATGAATGAAAACAAATTACATGGACAGAAAGAAAAATCTGGAAGTATTTTAATACTATTGAAATACATAGCTAAGACATAACAAAAGAAAAAATTACAAACTGAAGACAAAATGAAGTCAAATTAAAGAGCATTCCTGTAGCTCTTGCTTTTAAACCCTTGGAAAACCAATGGTTCACCTAAGACTCCCTCGTGACTTCAAAGGCAACCAGTGGTTTAACGAGGGAAAGTTGGACTCATTCCATAAAGACCTTCGTAATAATTCTGTCTCCCCTAGAAAAAACCGCCCTGTGTGTGTGACATTGCAAGGCTTTAAGGAAATCCTGACTAAAGTCACCACTTCAAGTTCTTATATTTTCTGGGAATTTCCATGACGTTTATACTTCAAATGTACAAAAGCTATGTCTTTTGAAATCAAATCTATGATATTTTGCCACCTCTTAGCGGAAGAGCATTTAGTCTAAATCATACATTTTATCTTGTCATTTTGCTGCTCAACACTCTTCAGTGGCCCCCATTGCTTAAGTGACTGCATGGAAGCCAGGCTCTTCGTGATGGGGACCGCTTCTCTTCCTGCTCTCAGTTCATCACTCATCAGCCAGCCTCCAGGCTCTGAATATGTTAAGTTACTTGTGATTCCAACACATCTTTTCTACTCCTCATTCCCTAGGTATGCCTTGCCTTTCTGCCTATGGGGGCAGCAGATTGAAGTAAGATCAAAGTCTCTGGGCTCCACTGTCTTTAGTCAAATCCTGACTCTACTGATGATTAGCTACACAATTATTAGCTACATGACATAGGAAAATTATCAGCCCATGTAACTTAAGGAAAATGGAGAAAATAAGTATCAATGTTATATCCTTATTACAGGGTTGCTACATGAGATGAGACATGTAAAAATTTAGAGTTGAGTCTGACAGAGAGTAGGTACAAAATGTATACCTATTGAATTAGCTGACAAATTTTTTAAAATACTACAATGATAAAAGATAGTAAATGCAGAGCATTTTTTTTTTTTTTTTTTTTTTACCTAAAGTATGTGTGCTCCACGAAGCATAAAATCCACCATTTTGCACCGAATAGTCCGAGTTAAAAATCACCACCAGCTGGTGAGAACCAGACATAATGGGCCCGGGGTTTGAACTCCCACAGTACTGTCCTATTATGGGCGATCCCGGAGAACCGCCATTCCTGACAGTGACAGAGTCCCAAGCACAAGCTGAATGGGATTCGATATCAAAGTCACTAAACGTAAGCTGCAGGAGAAAAAGAAAAATAATCAGGCATTGAGAGCTGTAAGTGAACTTACCTATCTGGAGTTTGGTAAGGCCCTCACAAATACTTTTATTTTGTTTTAATCTATATAATTTTGCATGTATGTCTCTTATTTTCCACTGCCCTCCTCTCTTTGTCCTTATTGAGGTTTCCCTAGGAACTTGTGAAAGGGGATATTTGTCCCCAAACTAAAGTCTTTAGGGGACACTACTCAGTCTCCTGGGCTGGGCTGGCAACTCACATTGAAAACCGAAAACACTTCTCTCCTGGAGGAAGTATCTTCTGCATATAGCTTCTCCAGTTCTTGAAAAAGAGAGCTCGTTCTTCATTAATTGTAAACTCATAGATGTCAACATATCTATTCTAATGGGAACATTTTAGGGAGAGAACGATCTGCTTACAAGATCAAAGTTTAATAATTGCTTACTTAAAAAAACTCTGTTCCCACACAGGACATGATATTGTAGTCCTGTAGTCTCAGAAGCATTTTACTCAATCCTCAGAACTCACAGTGATGGTGTGGCCTTGTGGGACTTCCAACAACCAAGAACAGTGGGTCAAGCTGTCGTAAGAGGCTGGATACTTAGGGCTTGAGATCGCTCCGCTCTCACCCGTCTGTATTCCACCACAATCTGAAATTAGATTTGTAAACTTCATATAAGAAGGTGGGGGGTGGGAACCCTGCATGGCCAAAGTAAGTAGTACTTATAGCTGTCATACTTTATGATTTAAAAAATACAATAAATGAATAAGTAGATGAGATGGGATAAAAGCAACGTAAAACTGGTGGAAGATTAGAAGTAAACTGAATACCATACAGAGAATCACATGCTGAAAATAGGCTCAAATTTAGTAAAAATAAGAAAGAAGATAATCTGTACCATAAATGGAGAATAATTAGATGTGTGTATAACTGAGAGTAAATGCACCAGGGGCAAAGAAAATAACGCTGCCTTTCTTGAAAAAATCTAGGCCAGTGAAAATAAATGTAAGCCTGAAGAATATGATCAGTACCATAACTAAAGACTTTGTCATTTGATCATAAGCCCATATGTCTGTGATCATCTATCAAGGTTTACATTAGCATAACATTGAAAAACAGACAAATTTCTAAAGCATAGTATGGTATGATGTTTCACACAAATTATACTTCTTTCTGGAGCCGGACTCTTTTTTGTCAATCTAATAAAGAAAAATCAACTGGCAAAGTGGTTGATTAAGTAGATAATCAATCTCACTCCTTATCCCAGTCGACCATTTGATTATAACACAAAAACTGTTGGATACAACTATAATCAAAACATATTTTGATTTATAGCCAAACTTAATGAAAAGAAAGGCAATCTCCCAAATCAATGAATGATAAGAATACTCAGATTCCGAGGGGTAATCTCAAGCCAAGAGCATGTAAGTCTGAGGGAATATAGAACCAAGATGTCGGTCCCAGAGATTGGGGTCTAAGGGTTTGCTGACCAGACAGAAAGTGAATATACGGCCTTGGACTCACCACAAAAAGAAGGGCTGGAGTTGAGACTCTTACATGACGCTGGGAATCTAAAAGGACTGCCATGCTATTGAAAAGGGACTAGAAAAATTTCAGTGGCCCAGAGAAGCAGCATGAAGTGCTGCCTGTCTTAGGCTAGATTTTCAGGTACAAACTGAATGTCACAGATATAAATTTGACACAAGACATTAGTAAAAAATATCCAGTAATAAATTCAAAACATACATCATGACCAAGTAGATTTTATCCTGGAAATGAAAGAATGGCTTAACGAGAAAAATATTTCAATATAATTCATCACATTAACATAGTAAAGGAGCAAAAAAAAAAAAAAAAAGATCATCTCAATAGATGCAGAAGTTATCTGATAAAATCTTACATACCTATTCACAGGAAAAAAAAGTTTCATGCACTAAGAATTTAAGGGAATTTATTTAATCTGATAAGGAGTATTTGTTGGAAATCTAAGGACAATCAATATATTTAACAATGAAATGTCATAGACATTCACATTAAGGCCAGAAACAAAATGTCATCATCCTTCCACTCAACATTATGATGGTGGCTTGGCTAGTGAAATAAAACAAGAAAAAGAAATAAAGTATATGAGCTAAAATAAAAAGTCACTGTCATTTGCAGATTTGATTGTTTACACAAAAAAAAAAACAAAGATAATTTATAGAGAAAATATTAAAGCTAATGAGAGTATAGCAAGATCTCTGGCCTACAGATCAATGTAAAAAATTTAAAAATTCCTAGATATCCAAAACAACAAACCAGAAAATCTATTTAGAATGTCTTATTGACATTAGCAATACAACCATTAGCTACCTAGTAATAAATCTAGCAAAATATATGTGAAATTTTATGGCAAATATTATAAAAATTTTATCTATTATTTTATTGCCAAGATTTGAAAGCTTAATCATGTCTTACCTGTAAAAGAATACTCTGCATGGAATCCAGTATGTTCTACACGTTCGTTGGTGACAAAATGTATCCATACCTGAGGATAAGGGATAACCAATGGCATAGAAGGTGTCGAAGGTCCACAAAATCTCCATATCAGAGGTCCATCAGCATTATCTGAAAAAATAACACACGAAGTGCCATTACTTATATAGCTTTTGAGAAATAGTCAATGGATTTAATAAGAATCAATAAAAAACATTTCAAGGCATTAATTGACACATCATTAAATTTTGCTTTAAGAGTAGACATCCACATAGCTCCTCTCCATCTTTGTCAACATGTTGCTTCCTGCTGCTTCAGAACATTACCACCAGCAAACTAACTTGCCTTCTGCTACTTTCAGCCTCTTTTTCTTTAAATTTTGTGATAACATGAAACTTGGAGAATCTCTGTCTGACAGCATAGAATCTACAATGTTACTTTCCTCCTCTATTATTTTTATTAGTTTCAAGTATACAGTACATTGGTTAGACATTTATATAGTTTATAAAATGATCCCCCTAATTGCTCCTTCTCTCCTCTGGTTCTCTACCTAGCCCATATGATAATGCTAACTGCATTCCCTATGCCGTGCTCCCCATCCCCATGAACCTCTATCAACTACTAATTTGTACTTCTTTAACCCTTCGCCCCATTTCTGTATCATTCCAATTTTAGTATATGTGCTGCCGAAGTGAGCACTATTTTTATTATTTTTTTAACCATGAAAAGAGTGTCAATGTAATGATGGGGCAATTTGATGGATAACCTATGTGTTGACTATAGGAAAAAACTAAAATGGATTCATCTTCCATGAATGAAAATATTTAAAAATTCTTAAAAGAATTATGGTTTACTAAGTACACCTTAATCCTTTCTGTCATGAAAACAAAGACAAACTTGACTGCTCTGGGAAAGATTCCTCAAACAGGTTCCATTTGCTTCTCTACCCGGTGCATTCCAAAGCTGCTTTTGACTTCTCAGGCCTAAGGAGCGATCTACGGCCTGTTCTGTGAATCCTGAAAGTTCAGGATAGCACTGACAGTCTGATCATTGCATGTTCCAGGCTCCAAGAGAAGGAGTCTTGAGCAGTAGGCGATAATTGAAAGGGGAACCTGAACTCATTAAGAGAGCAAAGACAGACCAGAGTCTCTCCTGGGTAAATCTCACAAGTGAGACAGGGTCTAGTTGTAAATGCTGACCCATCTCCCTCACTATTCAGAGGGCATGCTTTCCTCGGCTGTGTGTAAACGGAATTATGGCTTCATCTGAACAACATTTTTGGGGGATCTTATGTAAATACATTACAATAATTTGACTCCTTTCACTGTTGGTGGTCTCCAGGCATAAGAAAAATATCGTAGATAAATGAGAGAAGTGGCCCTTGATTGAACTCACCGACTCGGAACTCTAGGACATCAAACTGACAGTCTTGGTGACTTTCAAGGTAAAAATCCTCAAAATGAATGTAAATGGATGAATTTCCCTGACTCGGATTGCTGAGAGTCCATTCGCAGTTTAGGTTTCTTGAGTAATTACTGACTCCATCATAGCCAGGAGAAGTAAAGTTTCCTCCAGGGGAATTTGTAAGGGACCCGCCACACACTAAGGAAAAACAAAGGCAACAGGGAAAGCAGCAGTGAGATTCATACCGTAACAGAAGACACAAACAACACAGGAACAACACTATAATAACAGCCGCAACATTTTCACTGCTCTGATTTGTTTTTCTAGTGAAGTAAAGGTTGTGGGTGAAGGGCTGACTCCTGCATACAAACTCTGGAAGGAGTTTCTGTGGGTTTAGAATAAAAGATGTGCAAAGATAAGCAGCTTCATTTTCTTGTAGTTGTAGACAAGGTGGGTGAGGTTTGGCTGTGCATCAGTATCTCCTAATTTGGGCCCACTATTCAATAATACTTAATTTAGAGGAATATGAAAATATAAGGGTGGTCCCAATGACTTCTGATTAGCAATTCTCCACTTGACCCCAAAATTTAATTGGATCAAATAGATCACATAACATCAGTGTGGCAATGAATTTGCCCCTTTTGATAGGGAATGAATCTCTCCTTATATCAACAAAATAACTTAGAGGGGTTTTTTTTTAATATTCAATTCCATTCTTCCTAAATTTAAAAACTCTTAGATAATACCAATATAGAAAGTAGGAGGACGTTTAGACTAGAAAAGCCACACTTTGTTTGATTTTTAAATACTCTATGTCAAAAGCAAACCCCTCATTTATTTACAATGGAAATGTGTATATGGATGGATTAAGAAACAATAAAATATGTCTGTCTTCAATTAACATAGTTACACTCTGGAAGTGAGTTACCTTCTAAGAGGTAGACGGTCTCTCATCATGAAATAATTGACGGAGGACTGTGGGACTAGAAACCAACTGTAATGGCATCATGGCATGGAATTGGGCTAGAAGTTCTTCTAACAGCACTTTTAAAAGTTTTAATTCACAATGAAAGTTTTCTTACCGAAACCGAACATTTTGCTTGTGTGTGTGTGTGTGTGTGTGTGTGTGTGTGTGTTTCTATACGGCATAGATTTTCTATCTGGTTATATATGTCTGTCTCACATAGAAGATCCTAGGTATAATTTTGATCACTAAAGCAAAAATACACGGCTCTACTATTGGCAGCAGCTGTGGGGCTATCTGCAAGGCATTTCTGTATTTATAACATCTTATGTTACCTGCATCTTCACTGGATGTGTAGGAAGCAGTGAAGCCTCCATATGGCCTGGATCCATCAGTGAAATAAATGACTTTCATTGTGTTTCCTGAGGACTTGATCTCGTTGTTTACGTTCACACTGCTACACAGCTTCTCGAGCTGGGGTGAGTTACTTCTGATGCCATTGAATATCTGACGAAAACACAGTTTAACGTTTAGACGTGCAGTCCATCTTACTAAACATTTCCTAAGAGGTTACAGTCCCAGCCTGGACACACTTCCTTCTAAGGAAACCTTGTGCCAAAATGAATTACTTAACAATACGGGTTCCAAGCCCAGTGCCACAAACTTCTGCATTACCCAGAGCATATTTCGTGGCCTCAAGGTCATTTCACTAAATGAAAATACTGCAGTAATGCCATCCTGCCATGTGGTGACAAATGAAAAACTGTCGTACTCATTGCAACTGGAAACCGTGCTCTAAATATAAAGCAGATAGGCCAATATGCTTAAATCTTACTTCACAAAGTTCATCGATGGGCAGTTTTTCTTAATAATGCATCAGGGCCTTTGATATTTGGAACAAGGGCTTAAATGTTAGTCTCTGATGATGTGAAGTATATAACGACTCTAATATTTTAAATACCTTGAAAAGTAATTTTAAAAAATCAATTTCAGTATCAATAGTTCTTTCCTAACTGCAAATGGACTCAAGCTTCAATATTCTTACTAATTTGAATTTTTTTAAAATGGATTATTGGTGATTCCTAAATATTAAACAATAACTCTAGTTGTGCTCATAGTTATAATAACTGGCAAAGCATTATTTCACTTCTGTATAAAACCAAATGAATTTTTTAGCATGCCTGGTTTTCACAATGGAAAAAAAAAATCCAGAAGTAACTAAACAATAATTGATCGATTGAGTGATTGGTTAATATTCCTGTTTTAAAAAAGGATTCGAATGGCTCACAATCAGAAATAATGATTCAGAATATGACATTAAGAGCTATGGGGAAGGAGAATGAATTCCATAACAAAAGATGTAAGCTTTTTTATTTACTGTAATTGGCTGTTAAATTTAGCTCTGTGGAGGCTTCTAATTTAAAGCATCTTCTAGCTCACAGGACCAGACACAGCATTTCCTACAATTTTCTGAGCATGGAAAAAAATGCCAGATTCTGCTAATAACCCAGATGGACTACCTTATCCAATTAGCACAACACCCTCTCAGACGCATAATATTATCCTTCTTTTCCAGATTAAGATGGTAGAATTCAGAAAGATTATGCAATTTGCTGAAGTCTAAAGAGCTAGTAATAGTAGAATTGGTATTTGAACCATCCCTCTGATTCTAAACTGGGAAGTAACATATAAGGAAACAGAAGATGACAAATATTTCAATAATACTGAAAACAGGAATGGGTAACCTTTGCCAGAATCAAAAGGGATTGTTAGCAGCTACAGGCTAATGGGACATGTTGGAAACCATGATCAATGACCTTTATCCTTGCCCCACTGTCTGCCCTGAACTTAGAATTATGATGACTAAAAATTGTGCAGACATTCATTTATCACATGAACTCCTGCCTTTAGAAGCCACCAGTGTGCTGTTTCCACTTCGCTCCTCTATTTGTGTTTGTCCTCAGTAACTACAACCCCCAGAAAACAATGGGGTAGGAAGCAGGCATACGAGATTAGGACAAACTCTAAAATTGCTATAAGTGGGAATAAAATCAGGCACACATCTCACTGTAGTGCACACTACATGGTATAGCTTTTCCTCACTCCATCTGGACAGAGAGTCAAACGGGCAGCTGAGTTTAGAGGAATCATATGGTTAAAGCTGCCCTTGCTCAACATGTAGATTTTAGGAAGTCTTCCTTCCTCCCTCCTTCTTTTCTCTCTCTTTCTCTGTCTGTCTCTCTCTCTCGCTCTCTCTCTCTCGCTCTCTTTCACATACACACACAAGCACGCACACAAGTTCTCAAGTAAACAAAGGGTGAGTAAATCCCTTTGTTTAGAGCAGAGTGAAAAAGAAATGAAACAAACTTTAAACCTACAAAATATAGTTCAAAGAAAAAGAATCATATTAAAGATTAAAAAAACAAATTAATTCTAAAAGTGTTTCTTTGTTGGAATATTAATCTCCCCAGGAGAAAAGACCTCTAGATATGACATTTGTAGTTTCTGCTAATTAAATGGTCAAGTCACAAACTCTGTCACCTCCCATGAAGCCCACAAGTTGACAGCTCCTGTCGTGCACACAGAGCTTCCAATCTGCCATTTAGTACTTCATTCTTAAATATAAATGAACAGCCAAGGGTCATCAGACATTTAGAGAAATGTCTAATGTCAAGGTAGAGACCAATACACGTAAACAGGAAACAGGAACTTGAAGGAAACTTACCCCCAGGGAAGTGGCATGATAGTTCAAAATTATGATTAATATAGTCATATGTGTATGTGAATATACTGAATATATGATATGTAAAGGGTATCATATATTCAAAGAAAAGGGTAAAATAAGGATAATTTTAGGTATACACATTCTCAAAAACTTTATCGTCCACGTCCACTTCTTTCGAGAGCTACGAGTACATATGCCTCACCAAAAAGAGGAAATTAACCAAGAAAAGGAAATGCTCATATGAAATCAGGTATCCAGCCCAGAAGAGGAATGAAGGGACTTGGAAATTTGGTGATGAAGAGAAATTCCAACACGACAGCTGGCATCAGGCTCACAGCTAATGGACGAAGGAAGAACATTGCTAAGGAAAATGAATGAACATGACAGATGTGCTTTATCATCTAAGGCAGGGATGTACACCTGGACCGGAAAGTGTGTGGAAGAATTGGTGATGCACAGAAAACCAAGAAAAAGTAAAAAGGACAATGTTATTATTACTTGGAAAAACAAAAGCAAATGCTACCGTAGAACACGACCTGGCTTTGTTGGGAATGGTGTTTACATAACCTCAACAAGTAAACAGTATCCGTGACTTAGTATTTTGGGAGGAAGCTGGATAAGTGCATGAAGGTGCGTATCTCCGTGTGCATTTGCGGTGGTGGAGTGGGGTCTGGTTTGTGAAAATGTCTAAAACTAAAAAGTAAAGAAGTAGCAGAATAGGAGTATTATTTTGAAATAATGACAGACACTCCACAAGAAGTAGCTAAAAGGTGAATGAAAATGGATGCCTTGGACATCTATGATTCAGAGATAGGGAAATGACAAGTAAGAATTGATTTAGAAGTTGTGGTAATTACTGTAACTTTAATTATTTGAGTTCTAAAACTATGACTCTTTATACTACCTTTCCTGTTGGGAATGTAAATATTCTGCTGGTAAGATTCTTAATAATCATTATATTCAATGTGACATCAACTATGGAAACAATTTCAAAGGAAAAAAAACAGCATATACATCAAAATTTTAATAATGAATGCGTGAGATTCCAAATAGTTTTATATTTTGCATTTTCTGAACTCTCCTAATTTCAATCAACAAAGATCTTTTATATTTATAATCAGAAAAATAGATTAAAATCAGTATACAAGTGAATTTATGTCCCATGGTTACAAGTATATAATATTATTCATTGCCTAGAAAAGAAAATGCATCAAAATATAGTGCTGTGGGAGTAGTTAATTTTTTTCTACTTCATCCTTGTCTCTATACATTCATTCAATAATGGGGAAAATGTTCCTATAAAACAAGCAAGTGTAGTCCAAAATTTTCTGGCATCAAATAAAAGAAAATATACTGCTTCCATATTTTTAATATCTGATAAAAATTTTCAATTCTTCAGATATTGGAACTTGGCAAAATTTGAAGCTTGAACATAGTTATTTTAGGGCAATACAAAACAGTAGTAACATACAAAGACGTGTCACATTTTTTCTTTAAAATTCACTACCCAACAGGAGACAATTAAATGGAAAGCAAGAGTGGCTTGTTAGTTAAAGGTTAATGATAATTCTTCCACTATTCATTCATTTAACAACTATGCCAGGCTCTGAGGATTGAGCAGTGAACAAAAATAAGTGCGTGTCCTAATGGAGCTCGCATCTTAGTGCGGGGAGCAGACAATAAACAGGCAAAGAAAGAAATATGTGGAATGTCGGCTGGTGTGAAATGCTGTGAAAACAAAGTGCAGGCAAAGGGAGAGGCCCTGCTGGGGTCTGTTTAGCGTGGGGTGCTTAGGGAAGGCCCGGGATCAAGTCATTCGCAGAGACCTGAATGAAGTGAGAGCGTGAACCCCGCAGCCATCCAGACAGAGATATGCGCATGAGAAGTGGCTTGTAGGAGGATCTTTCCACGTTCAGGGAACCTAAAGGAGTCCAGCGTGAGTGAAAGAGGAGAGGAGCTTGAGTTAGGAAAGCAGAGGTAGGAGAAGGAAGGGACGACAAATAAAGTAGGGCCAGCGGGCCACTGTGAGGATCTGGGCGTTTCCTCTGAGTGAGATGAAAGGCCGTTGGAGGACTTGCAAGAGGAGCAATGTGATCTGACTGACAGGGAAACCTGGCTGCTGTGTTCAGAATGCAGCGAGGCAAGGGTGGAGGTAGGGAGGCCAGTAAAATAGATCTCAGTGAGTGGTGACGGTGGGAGTGGTGGATATGATAGGGAGTTAGATTCTGGATATTTTTTAAAGGTACAGCCTGTGAGACTTGCTTATGGATGTCACATAATATGTGAGAGAGAGGACTCCAAAACAGACATCAAGGTTTTTTGACCCGAGCAACCACATGTTTGGAATTGTTATTTACTGAGAAAAGAAAGAGAGAAGAAAGGACAGGTTGGGTGGGGAAATATACTGATATTAATCACAATCGATAGAGTGCGTATGCGTATAGATCTGTCATTTTACAGTTAGTCTTTCACACCCAGACTTCATTTGCTTGCTTTTGCTAAGGGCCAAGAATGCTGAGGGTATAGCTGAGAGCGTGTGAGCTTGGCAGCCTGGAGGGCAGGCACCCACGATCTTCCAGGGGCATCGCCCGGTGCTCTGGCAGGGAACAGGAGTCGGGCAGGCCCACTCCTCCGCCTAACACTTTTGGGGACGGCTTGTGTTATGACTCTGGTCTCACTCAGCCATGTGCTACCCATAGGCTTAACTTTTCTCTGTTTGCTCAGTTTTATCATGTGTAATGGTTATTTGCTCTTAAAATTTATCCTACCTATGACCCTGATGTATGTGGTAACAACTTACAGTCTCTTAAAACAGCTTTTACAAATGTCATGGAAGTTTACTGTGATCTTGCTCTAGTATCTAAAATACTAGAATTTTCTGAGATACAGTTGCACGATGGGAATACTCCCGACCTAGTTCTCTAACTGTGATTTATGAGTCAATAAACTTCTTGAACAATGGAACGTGATATCCCCGACTGCACAGGACACTTACTGTCACACGCTCACTGGTGCAGGACGGATGAGCTTCCAGCCTCAGGTCGTTAAAAGTCAGCGTGACCCGCCTTCCTTCCTGCGCAGTGATGCTCCACTCGCAGATCCGGCCGTGAGGATTGGGGTTCGGGTAGCTGGGAGACGTAAACGTTCCCGTGGGGCCCCACAGATCCCCGCCACATTCTGAAGGGGAAAAGGCCCAAGAAAACTTCCCTTCAAACCCACCGACCCCTTCTATAAGGAATGTGCCCCAAGTTAAAGCATTTCAGTATGCCACTAGACAAAAATCATTGCTCTTATTTACGTGTATGTGAGGACTTATCCACATTTGTAATTACTTCCGGTCTTCAATATTTAATCTTTGTTTCCGTGGATGATAGTTCACTGGCAGCATTTTAGCATCACAGCCTGAGCCATGAGAGACTAATAAATGTAGTAATCTTATAGTCTGGAAAATCAGAAGGCTAAAGCAATTATCCTTTCTTTTCCCCCAATTGAAAATCTTTATTTCACTTGAGTTTGTCAGGGAAGTTGGAACGCAAATCTTGAATAAGCGACGGACTGGCTTTCTGCAGATGAGCAATGCAGTCAGCTCCCACCCCTCATGTCTCTCACAGCATTAGTTCCCTTCCTTTGTAGCACTGATCTCAGTTTAAATATTTTACTTATTGGTGTGATTATTTGATTAATATCTGCCTCTCCACTAAAACGTAAGGTCCAAGAAGACAGGGATCATGCATTTTTTTCCCCCTCAACTATTACAACACCAGAACCTAGCGTGGTGACTATCTGGTATAGATGCTCAATAATATATACATTTTTAAATGAATCAATGAACTTACCCTCCAAGCTGGATTCAAACCGTAGTCTGAATCCTGGGGCAGTAAGAGAGCCATCTGTGACAAACCTGACCAAAGCGACATTGCTGGAAGTGTCTATGCTCTCAGGAATGGTGTTTCCACAGTATCTGCCCAGTAAATTTCCTGTGAGGGTCAAATAATTGTGAAAATCTAACCTCTGCTTGAGTCATTCTGCACGTATGAAGAAAATAATAAAAGACAAGACCCTGCCCACAAAGGAATGATCACCTCTGTCAAGAGAAGAAGGACAAACATGCATGAAAATCGATGTATTCAAATATGTGAAGAAGTGTAACAAAAACTGCAACCAATCAGGGCGAGGGCATCTCAGCACAGTGAGCAAGGCTAGCTCACTTGGTTAAAGAAATGGTCTGAGGAAACAGAGTGGCAAGTGTCCATCTCATATTATTTCCAGGCTCCATTGCCCCTTCCTCTCCTTGCCCTAAAGGAGGTCCCTCAAATAACTGCATATGGCACGGAAGGTCTCAGCA